AGCTTGTGATAAAATACTAAAAACCAGAAAGAAACAGGAGTATTGTTGTTACATAAACAAAACTTTAAAAATCGGACACGCCTACAAGCCTAAACGCCACCCTCCCACCACGTTGAGGTGGTAGACCGTCGGGGGGATAAATAAATAAAAAAAGTAAAAAAGAGGATAACCGCACCACATTCTAGAGGAGCTTGGAGAGCATGGGAATATTTCATAGTTTCAGTTGCTTGTCAAGCACAAGTCCCTCTCCCAACAAAATGGCCACCGACAGCGTGCTAGTGAGGTTTCTTTACTTCAGGATGACTGTAGCCATTTTGATAGAAGAAGATTTTGATCCTGTTGAGTGCTCTTTTGAGCCGTAAGCGTAACAGATCACCGCAATGGGATTGTTGGCAAAAAAAAGAGAATTCCGGATTTGTTGATTCGTACTTCAGAATTACGGCCATAAAACGGATATGGATATCCCTGAAAGTTGTACAATTACTGGAACTATTGGAAGTATTATCTATGGCAGTATTTTTTCTCAGGTAAGCCGCATCAGTTGTTTAACAGTGCAAGTGAACTGGTTTGCAAGGAGCTTTTTCGAGGTTATCGTGTTGAAATTTGAAAGTGATAGAGTAACAAGGCAACTGCGTATCATCAACGTGTGTAGGGAAAATAAACGAATGCTCTGAGCTAACTAGACTATTCAACCGATTGAATTTTATTATTGATGATTACCTAAGATTCCCATATGGCGTAGCAAGCCCCAGATGAAAGCGAAAGGAATTTATCTACTGGGGTGTGTTGCTTGGAAGAACAAGCATGAAAGGAGTGAAGCCAGCAGATGATTCAATAGAATCTGTTACAAGAGTGATTTCCTTACAGGTTTTCTCCCATTCATCACGCTGCTTATCTACGGATGCAGCTTATAAGGAAGCCTCAAATTTGAAACAGTACCATGGTGTTGGTTGTTTTGAGGTCTGTTTTAAATGAAATTGTAACGCCAAAGAAAACACTCAAAATTGAGAATAAAGGTAACATCTGGTGACCTAGTAGTGAAAGGAAAAGCGCATAGACTCCTTGGGAAAAGTTGCAAGCGCAACTTTTTGCTTAGGGATGCAGTGTAAAAAATGATAGAGTCTTTTGGCCTTATCCTGAGGGATGCGACCTCGCATTCGAATTTGGTTCAGAATGGCAGTGGCGTATTAAATGCGTATATGGCCTATACACAGAATTGCAGTGGCACGCCGATGTTTAATTCAGTGCCTTTTATCCTCCCAGACGAGTATGGTACTGATTACGCGACCCCAGAGTAGACTTGATTAGCCGAGGCGGATATCGATCCGGGATTATAACACGTGACCATAAGTGCGTGATAGTGCTCCACTTGCCACTACATCTTCTCTGCCTCTCGAGCGATTTGGCAACAAAAATCAGCTCTTCCAATCAGCTTTGCGTGTCATTCTCTTTTTTTCGTATCGGATATTCCATACACACCATTTTGCTTGAAGTATTTTGGACACATGAAAATGTAGGCAATGAAATGAGGTGAGACAAAATTACACCTCGAACTTTGAACGCATCAAATCCTTAGCAATGATACATTACACCAATGCAATGATCATAGTGTACCCATCCTGAATAGACGGATTCCGAACCAAAAAAAATTCCTTTCTCTTTCTGCAAGGATGGAAGGGGCGAGGTTTTTCCGAGAAGCAAGTTTTTTTTTTCGGAATAGTTCTGGAAAAAATCTCGTTGAATCAACTGGCTATTCTCTTCTCTAGGAATCGGTCGACTGAGACTAGTAGAGATCCGAACGAGATAGGACAAACTTTATCATTTTTGTTTGAGAAAATGACAAAGTTCTCCTCTGATACTTTATATTGCCCATTGCGGAAGACAACTAATTCATAAGTATACTTACAGACTATATGTAAAAACAATCAGCTCATGATAAGAACACGATATTCGAAGTTTTATCCATGCAACCGAGAGGGACAGGTAATCCACCTCAAGGAGGTAATGAAACATCTTTATCATTGTGTCTTAATCGATGATTGTCTTGGTGGCGATAACCGGCATGGTCGAGGGACATCTAAATATTTGTGAATTCCTTCTGGAGAGATTCTAATAAAGGTCACCCACCAAAAAAACGAAAGCAGTGTCGCCTCTAAAACTTCACTGTTGATCACGCCTGTCGAAAAGACGGTCTGAAAAGCAAAAGACGAGTCGCAGATGAAGCTGATTCACTAAGACCTAAATTTGCCGTTTTTCTTCAGGTCCCACATCGCGATAGCACAGCTGACCTCAATATAACTTGTCCATCTTGCTCAGAACTTTGCGGCTCTCGATTTTGTTCAGCAGATAAGTCTGCAAAGGAAGGATGCAGTGAAAGTGGTCCGACTAGGACTGCCATCAAACGCAGGGCTCAACTCGTTGGAGCGATACTATTGATAGTATCTTTATTCAATTGGTGATGTAACGCATAGCAAAGTTTATTCTAAGCATCTTTTTGTCCTGATTCATTGTTTTAGAGAAATAAAGGGCTGAAAAATTTATATGAAAAATTGAATTGAATTGAAAAATTTAGACAGTTTATATGCGTTTTGTCATGCCTTTACTTTTGTGTCTAACTTTATCTGTATAGTGATCGTGAGCCCGAACGAACCCTTTCACTTCTGTCGTATAAACTGAATAAAAAATAGAAGGTTTAATCAGTAAGCATTTTCATATAAATAGCCCTAATATCAACTATCTCGGACAGTAGTGAGCACTGTCCAGCTCAGTTTCAGCAGAAACCTGCTAGGATACTACAGGAGGTCTTGTTTACATTCAAAAGTGCAGCCCTAACTTCTTATAGCTTTTCTAATTGGGTTCGCCTTCCACTTTGCATGGAATGTATATGCGCAACATCCAACTTGCCATTAGTGCTGGTTCTATCGTATTCAAAGGCACTGTTCACGAAAAAATGCTTTCGGAGATTTGCACATGGTTTGAATTCGACGCCCCCTCTGATACCATTTGTGCAGGAATGAGAACGGTCTGGACAGGGCACAATAAGGCGCCGGAGAGTGAGCCACGGTCGCCCTACGCCCTTCGCTAGGCTGACTACGAAATCTAATTGCCGTTCACCACTTTCGCATTGGAGCGAAGTTGGTGAAAAATCGATAAGCTGGTCGGCAAATTGCCAGAGTCTGCCAGTCAGATTGTCAGGCAAATTGGGTGTGCGTCGCCTTCGTGCACTCGGCCGACCACTCGCTTAACCGCCGTTCTTCCAATGTGAAACTCGTCCAACCCCCTTTTTCAGCTCTTTTTTATCCCTTTCTATTTCTGTTTGTTCATCGTTTTTTGCGCTTTTTTCGTTGTTATCGCCTTATTCTAGAATAGTTCTATCAATTCCCATCAAAAAAGGGTACCCTAAATTTATCGTAAACGGTGCCTTTAATTAACTCATTCAGTAACTTCATTGGAAAACAGGGTTTCTGCAGGCGCAGAAAGCCCGCTATGAAAAGCCGCCATGTCAGCGAACTTCCAGTAGCGCTCAAAAGTATTCGGCCAACTTTATCTTGCCGTAACTTTTTTCCCAGTGGAGCAAATTGCATGAAATTTTGATATGCTCAACTCAAGCATATTTCACACTACCAACGCTATTTGACTGCAGAGCAGCCATATCCACATACTAATGGCTGAAAGCAAGTTTGTGACGTCTGCAGTTATTTCGACCTTATATACGTTTTTCTTCTCTTCTGGGCTCGGCATTAGCGCTCGTACACTTAAGACATGGCAAAAAGAAAAGAAATTCCAGAATGGCTACAGTCGTATTTCCAGATGATTTTTTGTTCAAGCCATTTTGGATATCTGGAACATGATCAAAATGCAGGTTAATAGTGGTAAATATTCACACTACACCAATGCTACTCATATTGGAATTTTGCTTGATTAGATCTAGAAGAAAAGGAGTTATGACTGAAAATTACAACTTAAGAAGCATTTCGCCGAATACTTTTGAGCGCCACTGTATGTATTCACACATTGCCTCCTTCCGCTGCTTATGCTTATGATCATGGCTATAAACAGAGGCAGAGATAATTTATCACATAGTGGTGACAGTGAAACTGTGCATTTGGGTTCTTTGTGTGGTTGTATGTGTAGGGAGGGAGGAAAGAAGCGAGGCAGTCTTACAGGAGGTGCCCCACTGCAACTTTCGCTGCCATTTTGGTGTGTCTTCCTTTCTATATTTTTTGCCTATGTGCACAACCCGTTTTGTCATAGACGTTGCCTTAGTAATATAATGCGCAAACGAGTACTTTGAACAGTCTCCATCCCTTCTTTTGCTGTACCAAGCACATATTTGATTAGTTTTACGTATTCATGCGGTTATGAGCACGATNTCATCTCTCAAATGACTACCTCATAAGCTGCTCACAGCTACTAAATGCACTCTGTTTCCAAAATATTAGGGTACCTATTCATCTCACGCGAACAGATGTTTATGAATGATTAGTAAAGCAGCGAGTCCCGTTTATAGCCACAGTTCACGATAATTTGAGTTTCCCTTCTTATGTCAAAAAGCTGCAGTATTGGTAGGGATCAGTCGTCGATGAAGGGTGAAGGAAGCGAGAAAATTCGAAGATTTCGTGAAAATCAAAGCTCCTCAAAGGTAGTGAAAATAGAAGTTGGACGAGATTATCATGACGGAAATAGCGTGGAAGGGGTTTTAGGACGGATTCCAGAAGTTGCAATTGCATAAAGAGCTGACTACATCAAGCGAGAACTGTACAGTGACTTTCACTGTCGTTATTGGTCATGAGAAGTTGTTTGAACTTCATACATGGGTTCTCTTCTGAAATCTGCGGCCTCTACAATGCCGTTGGAACTTTACCGCTCACACACACAGGACAATCTTTGAACCTTTATCTCACAGCTACACATACGGTACACGAGGCAAAGACAGATTCATCTTGGTGGGATATCTAAGAAACCATTTCCATCGTGAATTATGTATTCAAAGAAGATATAACTGAAATTCTTCATCGGACCTAAGTTAACTCCAACCACGTACTCAGGCATCCTCCTCCAGCAGCCATACTGCTGGCAAGCCGCACGTTGTTGTCACAGAACATTTTGCGTAACATTCTGTCCAAGTTTTGAATGAGATTGATTGAGGTAAATTGAAGAATTATGAGTACACCTGTACTGTATAATTCGAGCAAAATCCCGACGGCCAGATCCGACCTGACTATCGGGTCCGTCTTATCGACGTGGGTTATGGATAGCATTCGGCTCAAATAGTGTTTGTAGAATAGTTATAAAAACTGAAAGATTTGAAGTTCAAAACAGCAGGAACGATAAAGAGAACTGATCAGTGTTTTGGTTGATTTTACCGAATTGAATGGATGATGTTCTCTATGTTGTCGCCAATTCTTTGCTTTCGAAGGCAATCGAGTTGCGCTAACCGCTCAGCGTTGGAGGCCTTTAGACATTCGACTCTTCGCCAATTTTCTCGTGCTCAGAACTCTTTCCAGAAAATTCGCCATCTTTTTCATTACTCAGGTCAGCGGGTGGTCCATCTGAACACAGCTTCTTACACGATTGACGAACGACATCTGTTGGCACTTCACCGACTTCGGGCACGTTCTAAAGTGTATTTGATGAAGAATCTGAACGGAAAGATGTTGGCTATAAAACTGCTACTTCCATGAACTTCATGTTCATGATGTCATCTCCTTGCTCTCCGCCTCCTGCTCGGTGAGGCATTTAACCGCCGCAGGGCATCCGGCGGGAAGGGTAGGAACGGGCCTGTTGCTTTGTTCATCGCCTCGATCGTTTGGTGGCCAGCGAAACCGCTGAGCGTACTGTAACGACGGCATTGTTTAATCGCCATTACAGTACGCTAGACCGGACTTGCCTGTGTATAGAAACAGGATGAAACTGGCGGACTCTTCAAGGCAGGCTGCCCCTCTCAGGGAACGAATATAAATTCTATCAAGTAGTCAAGAATATCGGAGATTTATATTTCCCTAGTTAACGTTTGGGTTTATTGAGGATGTGAAAATTGTCGTGATGGACATGTCTAATAAATGTTTCCTGTCTATTGAGTTTACTGAACACCAAATATTAACCCTTTACATTTGGGAATTGATGCCCCCCAGAACAGCTATCAAGGGAGCAATCAAGATATCTGGATGAAATGCACAATTCTTCGATGTATTGGTTAAAGATCTTCACCAAAGCAGCTCTTCAGATGCAAGACTGTAAAATTTTTAACATCTTGTCAATACTTCGATTGTCGGGCCTGCTCCTTATGTTCAACATGGGAGAACTTTTTTTCTTAGTTCAGGCCTCAAAGAAGCTGGAAACTTTATCTAGGAGCTGAGCTATTCAGGGGCTTTAGATTACTAGAATGCATATTCACTTGCTCGTAACACTGTTGGTTTCATCATTTTTAGTAGAACACTCTATCGAGGGCAGCACAGCTTGTACCTGTACTTCTGAGAAAGACTGATTCCCAACTGAATCGAATACTTCGGATAGCGTAACACTCCTTTCATCTCAAAGCCAGACCGCATAAGTTGCTCACAGTTATGAATGTAATCCTATCGTTTCTCGAAACAGCTGATTGTACGTCGCTCATGAGGACCGATTCTGTCAGTTTTTGTTGAAACGTAAGCCATCGAAGTACCATGTGGAACTGCAGCAGTAGTGCCGAGGTTCATCGAGAGCCGCAAGTGGAGACTGATCCGACATGTAAATATTCATTCCGTCAAGAACATTCGGTTTTGGGTAAAGCAACGCAGTGCAACTACAATGAGTAACAATTAAACAAAGCTAAATTAGCAAAGCTTCACTGGATCCGACTACATTGAAATCTCCAAAGGTCATTGCACATTTGATCAAATTGTAGTATTGATAAGTTACAGTTCGTCACAACGACCAGGGCTCAGGCGAATGACTGCATTCGAGTAAGTCTTCGACCAAACACAGACACACCGGCTGACCGACAATTGGTGCACAGAATTAAAGCTTAATTTTATCAATAACAATGATTCGCATGGTAACCTAATCGAAAATTGGCATCAACAAATAATGAATGCAAGGTGCACGTGTGATCCATTCTTCTGCGGGCTTCTCTTGAGTATGTCAGACAGACTCATCTCTCAAATAATCATACTGTATTACGCTGTAGTTGCAAGAAGACTCACACTCGCGTGTGGCTACATAGTAAGTTCAACTTCTCGGCTATTGATGAAAATCCCATATGCCATCGGTGCAGCCTCCAAAGCCGGAAGATATCATGGTTGCGGATATGGAATATCCATCAGAATCGCGATCAAGAAGAGAATTGACGTGGAATTGTATACGGATTAAAACTGAATACGACGCTTCAGTTGATCTGTAAGTTATGTCGAGATTGCAGACCAAACCTTCCTTAAGCGGGCTTCGACTGGAGCCATTTCAATCACTGTGTGCAATTAGCTTTAGAGGAACCCAAGCTTCAAAACCCACTACTACTCATCGATCGACCTTATGAATACTTCGGAGCGCACCGCTACTACTAAAATGTTCTCGCATTTCTGCAGGATAGAAGCTCTTTGCGTTATCCCTAAAATCCTTTTCTCCGAATTGCTCTAGTTGCTTTCTACCTACTACCTACTACGTCACACGATTTCTTGTATAAATGCTTGTTATTCCTGAACGCAGTTTCATTCTTTGAACAGCTCACTTGCATACTTTATGATGCCCTTCTAAATGCCGATCTAAGTTTGCCCTATCAGTTCTTAAGGATTTAGAGGACTTAAGTGCACTATTTTTCATTTAGAGTTCTCTTGCTCGGGTTGTTAATCTTCTAACATCGAAGTTCAGCCTTTGTGAAGAATTATTCTCCGGAGTATACTTTTCTCACAACAGTACCCAGAGAGCAAGACACATACCTCTTACGAGCATGTGCTCTGTTCCCTTTTTCCTCCATTAGCAGCAGTGGCCCACCATTTGAGTACCCCTTTCCTAGAGGACATGGCTGGCTGCTGGGATTAGGCTTTTCTATGTTAGAGGCCCTCTTTCTCTACTTGTTCTTGACTCTTATTCCTGTTGCCCCAAGAACCTCATCCCCCCTTCAATCACTGCCCATGTGGTCACTCGCTGGGATTAGGAACTCCCGATGCGACATACTGCCTCTAATCCGTGCTTGAGCTCACGATAATGATTCTATTGGCAACCATGTAGACGGATCTTGATAGGCTGCGTCCATGCTCTAACCAACTCTACTGCGAGCGGTTCAGCATTCGGAGAGCAATTTGAAGCATTTTGAATAGACTTTTTAAACGAAGACCACGCTTTTTCCCACAGCTCTCAATATAAAAGTTGTTCTCGAGTCCTGAGTTCCGATTATGGGTGAAGTCTCGCATTGTTACTGCCCACACGTTCAACTTCAATCAAATCTTTCTAATGTTACAGGGATCCTTCATCTGCCTGATTGTCAACCAAGGTCCTTCGTCGGTAGTATGGCTACACCTTTTCTCTTTTTTGCGAGGCATACTTTTTTGCCTACAGATCTTCTTCTTTGGTGTTGTCTCTCACTGAACGATCTCTAGCCTGTTAGTGGCGGCCTACTCAGAGGGATCCTAGTTGGCGGATAGGGGAGGGAAAATCGCTCATTAAAAGTCACCTGTACTTGCGCTAAGACGCAGGTGAGTTCAATGAATGGACTCCTTGTTTCTGTCCTGCTGGGTAATCGTACTTCTGTATTTCGTGATTGTACCCAACATATGTGTGTGAAGAGTCTGCAGGTTCGTGTATGCTGTACATCAGCTGAGCCAAAAGTCATTAAAGAAAATGCGGAAGGAACAGGGGCCGAATTCAGTAGCCGAGCTTCATGCCCTTTCTTTTATAACCAGACTACCTACCCGAAGTCTGCCCTACACTCACGTCAGGATCTGACATGCTACTTTTTGTGTACTCACGAGTCGAAAAGGGTTTTGCACAAAAGTCTCATTCCTTCCAACCTGAGATAGCTCATTACGACAGACCCTGCTAATTGCGAGATCACACGGCAAAACGTGCTGCTCAAGAGAAGGAGGATTGAGGAGGCAATGTGACTTTCAATACACGAACGTCGGCATCGGAAGCATATATCGAAGATGCAAGCGTTCGTGATGCATGCTAGGGATATGAAGTACGACCTCTAGCTTGATGCACGCCGTCTTTGAAAAAGCATTGCTCCGTAGTTTGGAATATGCGATAGTAGAGGGATTGTCGATGTAGGCTTCCCTTCTAGTGGCACATAGCCATGAACATCGATGGAGCGAAAGCTTGACATGGATCAATCCTAGCTCTGACAATCTTCGTAGCCTATGCACAAATTTCTAGCTAGGAGAAGGAGGAGCTGAAATCTTCATGACGAGAAAAGGTTCTACAAAAGAGTTTATACCTTCATCAAGATTGTCGTAGGTGTGTTTAGGTGAAGGACTGCTCGAATTTTCGTGTCAACCCATCCTATCCATGATCAATCGCAGTTCTAGAAGCCCACGCATTTGCGAGCACCTCAGTCATTGTCTGAGGTTTTGGGTTACAGGACCGTTGTCAACCGCGTGTGTAGTGACTAAGCGCTTTTGTCGTTTTCTCTGCGTCTCTCCAAATAGGCATATCACCGCTGAGAGGATAGAGGGCATACGAAAGAGCTCGCCATTCCTTTATGCATCCTATTACTAGTGATACAATAGGGTGCGCTTCGTTGCGCGTGTCCGTCAAAACTAGGGCACGCCGCAGCCATCGCGTGCGGCAGGTCAGCCCGCGATACTTGACAGACGTCGCAGCTGTAAGCGGGGCGCACGATTTGCGCTTTCTCCACAGTAGTCAGCCAAAGAGAAGATAACATAGACAAATGCGAATCGTTCGCTCCACTCACACTTGGTGGTACTGTAATGTCTTCCCGAGACCTCAGTGGAGTGCGCCGCGGGCGAAGTGGGTGGGGTGACCTACTTTCGACGGACACGCGCAACGGACCTTCGCCGATACAATAGGTTACCTAGCGAACAGTATCGGATTAAAATTGAATCAATGGTGTTGCAGTTCTTCAAACGATATTGTTGATCGCAGCGCAGTTTCCCATAAAAAAGTAGCAAATAGATTGCAAGGTCGGGTTTTCTACAATGCCACATAGATTCTTCTCGTTGTGGATGTTCTATGCAGACGTTTCGTTGATATTTGCATGAAGATCAAACTTGTACTCCTCCCAGAGTACCAGAACTGATCAACGAGCAACAATCCCCACCGAGTTGCACACATTACAACACATCCTTCATTTTCCGTATCTTCTCCGTTTGCATGTTCGGAATACGAAGTTTTCTTAGTTGGAGGAAGTCTATCTTTCTGTAGATTCTTCAACTCTTGGACCAATTCGAATGCCTCCTCTTGACAGGAAAGCGCTCTGAAGGAGAGCACGGACAACTAGCGAACACGCCCTCTTCCCGCTGGTGAACACGACACACAGAGACTGCTTTGCCGTCTGATTCTCTCAGCGAGAGAATTTCTGGTTGACAACAGCCCTGTAACCGAGATTTGCCTCACTGTTGACGCTGTTCCGAATTTCTGCACGGGACCATCGTTTTCTCCGCACTAAATACTGTTTCTCGGTCAATTGAGAGAGCTATGAAGTTAAGCAAACGGAGCCCCAAGACCTCCATCAACTGCGACCACTTCGCTTCTCTTGTGAGTGAATGGGAAGTTCCGTTATCGACAATATCGATAAAGAATACAAA